AAAAAAAAAAAAAAAGAAATTAGGTAACAAATTTTGGGTGAATATGAAAGTTGAAGCGAAACTGTAATACATCCCTAATGTGAGAAGATAATTAGATTATATAATTTAAAACTTTTTAAGTGCTCTACTTAGGCAAATATTATTTACTTTTTAGTAAGAACATACACTGTTTAACTAGACTGTATTCATTTATATATATTTTGTTATATTTTAGTATATATCTTTATGGACTTTTAAGTCAATATTTTCTTTTTATAGTGAAGCAAATATACTTTTAGGGGCTGCTTAGAATTTTAGGACTTAGATTGTAGCTAATTTCATTCATTCATGAAGTAGTGAATGTCTGTATTGTTCTAGGATCCTGTAGATACACAGAAATGTACAAAATAGTTCTTTTCCTCACTAAGCTTACAATCATATAGGGAATGTTGCTATTCAAGAAATAATTAATTACAAATGTGATGAGTGTAAAGATATGCAGGTTTCTTTGAGAGGACATGGGAGATCCAGAAAGGTATAAGATAATTAGGGGAAGGAGGAGTTAAAGGATTTTTGCAGGGGGTGGAGGGGAGGGTGGGTGATATCCATGAACCCTGGCTACAGGGTTGGAGAATGGTTTGGAGGGGATAAGAATGGGGTCAGGATGGTTAGGAAGTTAAAAGCTCTTGTAGTGATAGATGCAAGATGGTAATATGTAAAAGATGTAAAAGTTATTCAGGAGGTGGAATTGGCAGTACTTGGTAACTTACCGATAAAAGTTTAGGTGGGTAAGAGAAATGGAGAACTCAAAGATGATTTAGATTTCTAGGACATTGTTGAATGCTAGTGCCATTTACTAGGCTAGACATTAAAGGAAGAACGGATTTGGAGAAGAGTTATATATAATTCATATATAAAGTGTGTGCTGGGATTTCACTGAATATCTCTTATTCTAAGAGCATAAGAAAACTAGAGTTTAAACAAAACAGGTACTCCTTCAACCATAATTTCCTTTGAGTTTTTTAAGGACAGAGTTAAATGAATGAACATTTTTTTTTGTTAAATGATAGCTGTGTACATTAATGCAATCATGGGGTACAGTGTAATGTTTTCATATACAATTTGAAATATTTTCATCAAACTGGTTAACATAGACTTTATGACATTTACTTAGTTATTGTGTTAAGACATTTATACTCTACTTTTAGATTCACTTGTACCCTTGTAAGACAAACCATAGAGGTGATCTTTCCAATCACCCTCCCTCCACCCATCTGCCCTTCTCCCCTCCCCCCCTCCATATTCTTGGGCTATGTTTCTATAACAATTGTTCAGACCTACTTAGACATACTATCAGTTTAATGCATATAAAATACTTTTATGATTGTGATAAAAGGATAATAAGATAGATATGGTCCATATGATATTAATGAAAGGATTTTAAACTACAGTTTATGATTTTGTATCCTGACCAATGTTGTGGAATGATTGATTGATTCACTTATAACTTCTTACCTTCAGAAGTCATCTAAGGTTGATATTATAGTGGAAAGAAACAAAATAAAAAAAGCAGTAAAACTGTGAAATGTTGCATTAAGAATCAAGAGGTGCCAGCCACATACACCTAAGGTGGCAGGTTCAAATCCCCAGCCCGGGCCCGCCAAACAACAATGATGGCTGCAACCAAAAAATGGCCGGGCGTTGTGGCGGGCGCCTGTAGTCCCAGCTACTTGGGAGGCTGAGGCAGGAGACTTGCTTGAGCCCAGGAGTTGGAGGTTGCTGTGAGCTGTGATGCCATGGCACTCTACCCAGGGGGATAGCTTGAAGCTCTGTCTAAAAAAAAAAGAATCAAGAAGCTTGAGATCATAGCTGGTGCCTGTAATCCTAGCACTTTGGGAAGCCAAGGCAGGAGGATTGCTTGAGGTCAGGAGTTCAAGGTTATACTGAGCCATGATGTTGCCAGTACACTATAGCAGTGGTGACAGAGTGAGATCCTGTCTTTAAAAAAAAATAAGGGAAAGAGACTATAATAAAGGGATGGGAAGTGTTAATTAAAAATCTAGACTAAGGAATATTATAACAGATCTGTGAGTAACTCATAGCTGTGAAACAATTGAGTCTAAGAATCATACTAGGTAACAGATTCATATAATAAATACTTTTTTTTACTTTATAATTTTTACAAAAGTATAAAAATATATTTTATTTTTATAATTTTAAGGAAATTACAAAAATATTTTTAAATATAATTTAAAAAAAATATATGTGAGTAGCACATTTTTAAAAGCAGTATATAAATCTTTCCTGAATCTTTAGGAATTTTTTGTATGAGGATATTACAACAGAAAAAAAAAAAAAGAAACTCCCTCATATACTTTTTATGTAAAAAAAAGAAACTCCCTCATATACATTTTATGTATTTTATTTTGATTTGAAAATGAATGAGCTTCAAATTCAAATGTATGTGTTTTAACATTATATATAAAAATGGTAATAAATAATTAATGTTTTGGTAATGTCACCAGTATATGCTAGTATTCCCTGTGTAGGATTGATCACCTGGAATTAGTTTTATGTTAGTCTTTCAGGAATGTCATAGTTCAAACATATGCTCATAAATTGAAGTAATATAAACATTTTTAAAAAGTAAAATAATATATTAATAAATTTTCCCCACAAAAATAATTAAATAATTCAGATAAAACAGTAGGGAGAAATTGGAAAGTCTTCCTTTTTACTTCCTGCCTTGGAATAATTCTTTAATAGTGGAATATTTATTCTATGTGATTTGTTAGATGTTTGGATTTATTTATTTATTTTCTTTCTTTTTTTTCTCAGAATTAAAAATTTCTAACCTTTGAGGATTTTCAGATTTATATATATACACATGGAAATGCATAGTTTTGTCTCCTATTTTTTTTTTTTTAAACAACTGGTTTAGTTGATATGTGTTCTTTTTTTTTGTTTTGTTTTGTTTGAGACAGAGCCTCAAGCTACCCCCCTGGGTAGAGTGCTGTGGCATCACAGCTCACAGCAACCTCCAATTCCTGGGCTCAAGTGAGTCTTCTGCCTTAGCTTCCCAAGTAGCTGGGACCACAGGTGCCTACCACAGCGCCAGGCTATTTTTTTTTTTTTTTTTTTTGGTTGCAGCAGTCATTGTTTTTGGTGGGTCTGGGCTGGATTTGAACCCGTTACCTTAGGTGTATGTGGCTGGCGCCTTAGCCACTTGAGCCACAGGCGCCAAGCTGTTTATATGTGTTCTGACGATATATAAATGAAAGAATGCCATCTTTTGACCAAGAAGGTTTTTATCTCCAGATAAGTATCAAGAGTAACTTTATTTTTTTAAGCCACAAACTCAGTATAAATTAACTGAAAAATGAACAAAGAAAAATCAGGTGATTTCACTACTAAGAAATAATCCATATATGCTTTCCTAGAATCACTGCAACTGTTTCTACTGAATTTATTATAAACAATTTTGACATATTCCATTTTTATCTTCAAAGGGACAGTGTATGGAAGAATTATATTTTAACTATTTCTGCATGTTAGAATATTTAATTTATATATATCTTAAAGTATTTCCCCAGGGTATTCCTTAGTGTAGAGTCTAAATTGCTAGGTCATTGGGAAGTTTTTGATCTTTAATATTGTGAATTTGCTTTTCTGAAAGATATCCATAGCAGTGATCCACGAAAGAGTTAATTTATATACGTGACATATTGACAGAAAAATACTTGGGGAAAATTAACTGTATGTAAAGCAGCCTAATCTTTTATATTTTATACATTTTAAAAAATGGGTTTTTTTTTCTTCTTAGAAAACCAGATAAACAAAACAATAGATGCTTCCGTTAATAAGAAAGCAGCTGATAGCACATCACAGGTAAGATTTTTCCTTCTGCTTCAAAGTAAAATTCTACTTATAGCCCACAGGAGAATGGCCTCAATAATCTTTGATACAATGAAAATCATTCAATGTCTGTTATTTTTTGTTGTTTTTAACAACTGTGCAAATGGTTTCTCACAGTCTCTCTGTAATGGTTGACAAAGATTGTTTTATTTGTTCTCCCTAGTAGTTGTTATAATGTTAAACGTCTGCCAACTTACTTGTTGAATTATACAATTTACAGTCTAGTCATTTGGCTTCATCTACTGTAATAATTATCTGCGAAATGAAAAGATATGTAATTTCTTCCAGGTCCAACTTTTTTTTTTTTTTGAGACAGAGTCTCGGCATGTCCCACTTGGTAGAGTGCTGTGACATCACAGCTCACAACAACCTCAAACTCTTGGGTTTAAGT